GTCGGCATCCGCTTCCCAACCGTAACCGCGAAGCGGTAGTTCCCCTAGTGGATGACATTAGATGAGGATAACGATAATTGGCAGCGGGAATGGACAGGACAACGGTCGTGTTTATAAACAAGGCTGTCTCTCAGTCTCCTTGCGCGACATATCATAGTATCATATATACAACACTACCTAATGTTCATAATGACACAGCCAGCTATGCTCCGATGCAAGTCGCCGCTGCGTACCCATATTCGGCCGATTGCAGTCGAATCGAGTTCGCCAAGACACGGCGCGGCGCTTCAACCAACATATAACATACTAAAGGTGGACAAGGAATCATTCCCGCAAGTCTCTGGCCCACGCAGAACGTTGCCTGTCTTATAAAGACCCTGAGCCATCCTCTAAGCTAAAGGTCACTGTCCAAGTTCTGGTCCGAATATTGGCAATATTCGGTTCTCATTATCATAAAGAGAAATCCAAGTTCCCGGAACCCACATTCACTAAGCTCCTGGTCTTATGCAGATGCTAATCTTACTGTGTCTCCTCCGCTGCTGCGACGTCTTACTTTGAACCTTGACAACTCTACATGAAGTTCTCGTAGTTTCATCAGCCTCACTCTTCGAAATGACTCACCTGTTTCAGAGGGTATTATTCCATCAGGAATACACGATTTTATGCGTTCTGCTGTTTATTATATTTGGCCAAGTCCTTGGATCTAAGCATAAACTCTCCCCTCTCAAAAAGGTTTAACCCCATCCATCATATGTCTTTCTATAGCCACACCTATATACACACCTATAGAAGAAAGATAAACCCACTAATCTCCAACTCGGATATCTCAGGAACAATATTGACGATGAATCAAATACTTGATTGGCTACAGATCATCTACAGATCATTTATGGCGATTAAATTTTCTCCCTTGGTGCCTGTTACTCTTCTTACCGTCTTCGACCCACAGAGCCGTGGCCAAGACGCCCAAGTACCTGGACGAGATGCTAAGCGAACAGAACCAACCAATTCCGGCTAAAACAGCATGATGGATCCCTGCCGCAGATCTGACAATTAATTACGATAGAGTTTAGGATTAACAAAGTGCCCCCCGCACACTCCTCCGTGTCAATCTAGCGAACCAACCCAAGGGACAAAGGCAACAACGTTCATTTGTGAAATTGCAAAGTCGATGGAAGCCTTCCAACCCTAGGAAATCTTGGGTCCAATGAGCTTTGTTCCCGTCTTTAAATTCTTGAACTTTTAATTTCATTTGCCGCAAATGGAGAATTTGCTTAGCCGCCTCCTGCATGCTTTAGGGATGACTGCCCTAGGGAGCATCATATCATGCCACTCCGGAGTAGCATGTTACTAGCCTTCAGATCTATGCCCGTCATTAAGTCGTCGTCAATCATTCAGTCTGAGTAGGTATATGCAATGTTCAGACGATGTGACTAGGATCAACTGTAAGCATTAAAGTTCTTAAAGGGTTGGGATCGAAGTGACGGATCACTTCTTAGCCGCTATCATATGATATGGGTCCTAAGAGCCGGCTTACGTGCTGCTTAGTAGCTAAACTCTTATGTCGATCACTAGGGTATGGTATGGACGATACCATGTCTTGACTTGCAGCCATACAAGCCACGAACGACACCGCTGTCTTAACAGCCTCCATGCCGACAATCTTCGTCCGTCTCGTACGAGAAATAGCACGGACGCATATGGGGAGTTCTTCTAATCATGATCCACAAACCGGAAAGCTACCTAGATATCTTTGATTTTTACCCGCTTCATTTTTAGCTCAAGACCTGAAGATTGATCCTCACAAGCCGTGTATTACCCAATACACGCCATTTTACGCATAATGCGAGATTATCACCAATTGGTCTAGATAAAATAGGTAGGCTATTAGATTAGCTTATTGTTTCTTGTTAGACAGTACGAACGTTAGGTAGTTAATATTTACCTAGACAACCTCTTTTTGTCTTCGTAGTTTAGCTAACGATGAAGGGCATATTCTCGTCAACGGAAACTCAGAAACTGGGTAAATAACTGCCTCTTATAACTCAAGAGGCATCTAAATGGTCAAGATAAATGCAACAGTTACGTAAGAGTTAAGCAATAGTAGATTCTCTCGGAACTTAGACGTAGAGTGTCAAACTCTTAAGGTATGAAAATACATAAACTTGAGTCTTATCGAAAGACAAAATAATATACGCCATTAAATCTCAATGCGGAGGAGCAAATGCATTCGTCCTCGTGGTACCATGCAGGGAATATCTTAATGCACCCCCTATTAGTCTTAGCCACCTTGGCTACGACCAGGCTCTCAGTAGGTATTATCAATGAGACCGGGTAAAGTCCACGAAGATACGCCTCTGTATTTGTAACTGTGGGGGGGAGCTATCCAAGTCAGCCTACATACACTACAACCAATCTGCTATTACAATCTATTACAATCATACAATCGAACGCTACTAGTACTAGTACTACTACTAGAAACGGATAGATCTTCACTTCAGTATCATATCGGGTTGTTCTTCCCAACAGGCAGATGTGCGTGGTCATGTGCAGGCGAACAAGCGGTTCCCAGGACCGGGGATTGTTGATAGACCTATTAGATCTATTATCTTCAGTACTCTTTGCTGTAAATATCCGATCGCTTCCAAGCCACTTTGCAAACTCCACTCTGGTGGACTCATTCTTGCATACTACCTATGTTAGGTATCGAAACATTACCGGGCTATCGCGCATGCGAGAGGCCAGCATACTTCCACGGACGCTGTTTGTTGATACATCACCTCTCGAGTGCATGGCATCGTGGTATTTCGTATTTTTCACCAAGAGTAGCTGCCGGTCCACGCAGCCACACTTATAATATATAGCCGCCATCAGACATACCTGGCTACTGTGTACCTTCAAAGACTCTACCGAGGACCACGCTCCTATCCAATTATTCGTCTGAAACAGACTGCGTAGTTTTATGCAGATAAGCTGACAACTCGTAGGCTTCGACTGGGCGACGAGAACCAAGAGATTGAGAAAACATTTTCGTTGCTTACGCTTTCCGACGGAATTAAAATGTGGTGCAGATATCGTGTTAGGACCTGGTTTGTTACCTGCGAAGTAACAATTCCTTAAATCCTGCCAACATGCATTACAAACCTCCTACGGCAGCTCGAGTCTCTCGGCCTCTAGTTGTTATCTACCATACTCATGAGCTTTTCTCGACTATAGCTTAGGGGAGTAGGTAGTAAACTTAGAATCATGAACCCATTATCTTCTTCCCGAAAGTGTACTTGCAGAGTCTGTAATACCTACCTACCTAGCAATAGTAACTTAGCCAAGACTTTTTGTGGTGTCTGAGATCTCTTCTCCGGATACAGCGTTGTAGCAACCACTCGGGGCGACGGCTCGAAACCGCGCTACCGGGCTGCTACGCCGCAGCAATACAGTAACCCACGGGAGCCGTTATGTCTCCATGTAAGGGAAAAGCTGCGCCCCCAACTCGCCGCCCCGGGTAACAGAAGACCTGGAACAAACCACGAGTTTTCGTAGGGCGCGGACTGATCCGGTGTTCCGCGCGACCTATAATCGTGGTTGGGCCTGGAGCACGCAAGGCAAAGGGAGGCGAGCCATATATCAATACATTTCTAAGGACGCAAAGATGCTGTTTTCTAAAGTCAAGTGCCATGTCAATGTTGATCGCTGCGTTGTACACGAATACCGTCTGGCCCCGTAAGCCTGGAGAAAACTCGGAGGAGCAGATAGTTTTAGCGATGCTACCCGTCCTACTGGGTCAGGCCGGCTTCTGTGTTTCAATCAACGGATACCTATCCAATAGCTGAGAAAGCCGAAAGCTACAGTGTTTCTACCTGTATGTACGTATCACAAGGCTTTCTCTTAGGGAATGGGTCGATTTCTACATGACAGGAATACCAGGGCCATCCTATATCACAATCATTCTCTAATTAATTATTGATAACGTTACGTAAATTACAATGCCTAAATTATACTTAATTCCATACCTACCAAAAACGGCATTCGAGAATTTGCAGCCATGCCAGTGAACTTAGAAACAGTACCTCTCGAAAGTCCCCTGAAAGTATCACCGCTTTGACGTTGACATTAAACAATCCAGCCCCCTGGCGTCCCAAACCCCAGGGCCGTTTTGATACACGGATCTTCGTACCGAAATGTATATATGGAGGGATCCCAAATTTATCATAAATCATAAAGGACGAGTCATTTTTCTGCCTTACAATTCGAGCCCAGCTGGATGAGGCAGACAACTCCAAGCCAGCCAGGTAAACTTAGAATATATTGGTAGAAGTAAACGTGGCTCCGGTACCGAACATGATCCAAACACTACGTACGCCATCCAATGCTGTTAGAATCAGACGGCATAGACCCGAGGATGCGTCACTCGCATATGTTTGGATTGAGAGGTACCTAACATATAGGGCAGGTAGGTTAGGTACATAGAGGTACTAAATATTAAGAACTAGGACTATTGGTAGGTTATTACGAGTTAGCATTAACAATGATATTTCCGGTACCATTACAGAATATGAACGAAATTAGAAGAGCCAATATATTAACCCATGGTAAGCCATTTTGACCTGACGTGGAATACCACATGGCTGATCATAAAGAAATACCTTAGTTGCCTGTTAAACCTATCTGTGGACCTATGTTTAATGTACTTGGACAATAGGGGACATGAAGTATAATTTGAAAAATTAATAGAACAGATCTCGAAGTACCGCTCTTGTATTTTATTTTGTAGAGTACTATCAAGATACAGCTTCGTTTTTCGAATGCCTGGCTTCAAGATATCGGTAGAAATAGAAGCTACCTTACCTACCTTACACTAGAGCTGCATGGTGCCAGATTAAGCCTGTGGCGGTGTGGGATGAATATGTAAATATGTATGGCTTGAGATACCCCTACACGCAAGGTGGAAATTGATAAGAAACAGTAGCAAGTTCTAGAAGCAATCGAGAGTGATTTCGAAGAGTTCTTAATCTTCAGCTATGATAAAATATCACTTACGGTTTAGGAAAGATGCGAGCAGAGCCGCCGGAGTGGCCCGGGATGATATCACCTACAGCCAGAGGTGTCATATCACACAAGCATCTACATGTGATATGATTATTGAGTGATTTAAAATTGTGGCTTATGATTTCATGATGCGTTTAGCATCGCCATTGCGTCTATGACGTCGCTGACGTCAGTGATTTGTCTGAATTGAATAATAAATGGAAGATACGGCGAGTATTTCTGTGAGAATTGAGTTCTGTATTCATTATCAAAATTCAACTTTCAAGCTACCTATCACATAACTTATAACCATCACACGAATACACAAAATGGCACCTTCATCAGAGACTCTACGCAACATTGCCGACCAGGCCGAGCGTGACCTAAATAGCTACGAGGCCAAGACCGGTGCTAACAGGACCTCTCGTAACGACGAGGCCGGTGTGGACACGAGAGTAGAGAAGAAGTTCCCCGGCGCCGACGTGCGCTATGACACAGACTTATCCACCAACGCCAGCTACAACAAGCGAATTCCGCCCGAGGAAGGCGGAGATGTAGATTCTCGTGGCCGGTACGATTCCCCCCCTCCCAGTTTTCCATCAGTCGTATCTACCTAACCTAGGTAAGCAGTTAACTAACCCATCTCACAGACAAACCCGCGGGGAGCATTTCGAAGGCGTCGGCGGCCCCGAAAACAAACTCGCGCGGGAAGCGCGGGACTTCGGCGGCGACGACGAGTTCAACGCAGCCGGTAGCCAGCGCCGGGAAGTCGGGTCGTCGGACGTGACGGAGTCGACTGGTGGATCCGGGCGGAGCGACGCGTTCGCCCAGGGCAAGGAGGCCGTGCAGGCGAATATCGAGGGTACTAAGTATAACCCGCGCAAGGACCACGTCAAGGGGTCTAATTACTATACACCCGAGAGCGTGCCGGGCAGCATCTCGGCTGAGGGATACGAGGCCCCGGAGAGCGTGATTCAGAGCTCGAGGGAGGCGGAGAGGTATGAATAGGGGGAGGAGCGGATGATGCATTAGTACATTAGCTCCTTTTATTGACCATCGATGATAGAACGAGTCAACCCATAGAACAGCCGGAACTGATAAACAGCGGTAATACGCTTCATGGTAGATGTATTAATGCTTTAGAGCTATTGCTTTTCGAAGCCTTGAAATGACAGTTGCTTCGTAAAAGCTCAATCTATTATAACTATGCCATGGTATGACTTTATCACAAACATGACAGTTTCTCTCCCATACACAATGTCATTAAACGATCTAGAAAATCCATAATTAATGCAGTGTCATGATATGAAGAAGTAGGAAGAGAACTACGTCTTCGCTCAAAGAGCTAAAAGCGCAACAGGAGCGAGATCACTAGTCTAGGCCTCTAACATGGAATATCCAGGTTTTGCTATATCCCTTAATTTAGGTAAACCTGGATAAAATGTACTTTAAGAGTAAATAGTTAGTGGTGCTAGCCATTATCTAGAACAGAGAATGTTCTTAGTATGTATCTCATAGTAATTGAATCCCGTCGCTTAGGTTTAGAGTTCCTTACAGAACAACGAAGTTGTTTCTATGCCTTCCAGATTTACCTCGTGATAGTACGTATGTAATGCTAGATACATTAGGTAGAGGTAGGTATGTATTAAGCAATCAGTAACAGGGGCGGGAACTTGATCTAGAGATGAGATGCTATTATCATCCTATCGTACGCATAATCCCTCGTGGTATGCTCCCCTGAGTTGTGTGTTCATCGTCTTCTATTCTAAAGGATTTGCCGTATCGTAAGGATTATCAATTGGTCGAATATCAGGGGTCTGGATATCTCGCATTTTCGAGCATGGAGTAAGGCTTCTGTAGCATCTTGGTCGACACTATCTTGCTAAGTTGTTCTCGCTGCTTCGCCAGTTGACATCTTCTGAGAAACATATAAAGTGGTCGCTGTCCGCGGAACCCGAAGATTTCACACGAAGTTCCCTTCGATTTCGCTTTGAGGGCTTATTGGGGTGAGACTAGGTTTAGATGCCGAAAATCCCGCTCCGAATTCTTTGGACGTATGATGCGAAAAATTGTAAGTTAATTAGATCGTGAAGAGTAGAAATACCTTAAAGATCGTATTGCTGACGATGTGGTCGGCTGATATCATGCTAGACCGCCTATCAGTGTTCTCGAACGTTGTTTGGCCCCTATCTCCCCGTTGCTATGGAAGCTCATACGGTAACGCTAGACTAAGACGATGTTGATTGGATCATCTCGTTTGAGATCTATCCATCTCAGTCTCATTCTTTTTCTTTGCATTAATAATATGACGTCTGATGTTTAATAATCTCTAGCGCTTATTTGGACACGAAGATGATATGGATGTGGTAGCAACTATTTCTGAAGTCGAAGACATCTAGCAAACGAAAGACGATATGTTTAATATGATATTCTTATAAGGCATCTAACACCCGAAAAGGATTTGAATCCTTCAACCACAGTCTATCCTGATGCATGAATCAGAGATTGTAGATAAAAGTCTCCAAAAAATGCATCTTGGGAAATATACTATTATTCGATATACATACCTAACTACGCTACTTTGTAGATATCTTTGGGCACTGTCAAGCTAAAATTACATATCTTACAAATGGGTCGAAGTTCTACCGATAGTTTACTGTACATAATGTGACCAGAAGCCCGTAGAGCAGGGGACGATCTTTACGATGTCACATCGCATATACGAGGAATCCAGGCACTGCGCCAATTTGACTGAAAGGACTACCCAGTCTAACCAGCATTGTATGTGTCTTACAGCTCTGAGAAGCACATACTAGTGATGCTTTGAGCTTTATCTATCCTAGGTCTTAGGAGCCTTGATGGCCACGTGCGGAGCGGCTGATACGATGTGACCAATGAGACGAAGTCGCTGTCTACCATCGCCTCAACGCGGAGTATCTCCGTTATGATGTCTGTCTTCCATCTCTGTTCTCCGCCTCGGTGACCTCGTGATGGTCACCGTCTCTCCTCCGACAGACGAAAGAGCTATTGGCATATAAATTGGATGCCCTGCCACCTATCTAATGATAATTTACCTCCCAATCAGACATCACCTCAACAATTTCCGATTAGACCATCTCATTATCCTCTAATAGACTTAATATTATTCTACTATACCGATAAAAATCATGAGGTTCCAACTCTCGTCGCTACTTGTCGGCATCGCTGCCGCTGTAGTATCTGCCCAAGATGTCCCGCAGACTGGACCGTTCGCCCTCCACATAACAGGAAAAGAAGGCAGCTCTATCGACGGTTAGTCTTCTAGCTAAATTTACCAGAAATGGGAAGCTTATATCTTATATAGGATATGCCGGCTCGTGCCATGCTGGTGCTGCCATTGAGGGATTGTGCTACAATGCTGGAGCGCTTCCCGACGGTATTTCCTTCCAGTACTACTTCAACGCTTCTAGTTACACCAAGGTCGACGATAACGACGTCGGCACGCTTGTGTGGAAGCTCCCTTACAACGACGGAAGCGGCAACCAAGCTACTGTGGATCAAGCTCTAGGACTCCAGTTCGCTGTGAACAGCAACGTCGCTTCGCTGCTGTTTGGCTTATCCAACTACTACTTCAATGTTGGTTTCGACAAGGACAGCAAACTATTCGGCTGGACCTACATCGACGACTCAACCTTCACCCCCGGAACGAATCCATTCCCCAGCGGTAACGGAACGGCATACTATCAATGGTATGTATATCATTCTACTTTGTTGATCGAGGCATCTGTTTCCTAGACCATCTTAAATGCCTTTTATTTCATGCAGTGACTGACCATAAGCAGGTATGTGTGCTGGCAATACTTTACTAGCTACTACTACCAGTCAGTTGGATGGACCTCAACCGGGGCGCCTCACAACCCAACTTGCGAGCCCGTTGATATTACCCAAGAGTTCCCCTCATCTTCCTAATATCGCATAATATTGGCTCTATTCCAAGTTTAATAGCTTTGAATGCCTACAGCTCTCAATAATTAGTTTATTGAATGAGAGCTAGGGTTGGCGGTCTTATGGTGATGATTATTTATGAGAAGTACGAAAGTTGGACGGTATATATAGCTAAGTGACATAATAGCGAATATAATCTTAATTCTGTTCGGTTTTAAATACCATACTCTGTAGAAGATGGCTAGTGCTTAAGAAGGGGCTTCGAAACTCTCGTAGGAAGTATATCATTGTGCTAGGTCTATTTGCTACACTCAGATAGTTGAGTCTTTCCCCATTTTGATCACGGGGGTTGAATTGAAGCTACTACTAATCCAGCGAAGCCACGATCGTTCAGGAAGTATGTAAAGGCGATAACATAGAAATGTGACCGGCGTCTAAGGCCAACTTGTCTACTGGGTCTTGGAAACCCTTTGAGGTCAAAGCCTTACCGCCCAAGTCTACGCTTAGACCCGCGTTACTGTTCATGGATGAATAGTAATACCATATACCCGTCAACATAATCATCGTAGCCGGCGTTGCTGGAGTGCGGGTCGGGATTATCCGTAGATCGTGTCTGAATACCTAGTGTAACGACACAGTAGTTGGGTGCTGCGGAAAAAAAGACAAGGAAAAAAACGAAAAAAGCAACTTCTGTCCGACGGTAGATACCCGCATGTTTGCATCAGTTTGACTGTACTTTTCTTGCGAGATACCTATACCAATAATCTAAGAGATATCGGGCCGTAAGCGATCCATTGTGCTACTAAATAGCTTCAGCCTCCTGGTTGTTTGTGGTTTTACTAATTCCGAAGGTATCTCTTGGTTTTGGACAAGCAGGAATTTTCCAATCATGGGCTTGCAATCCTATATTGCCTCGAAGCATTAGGTACCTGTCAGTAAAATTTCTCCCCTGATTTATTTGAGGCTTGCATCAATCCTTGTCGGCATACATGAGGCATATGCAACTGCTGCAGGACGGGAAATGCCAAATATTGGATACTTGCAGTATCTTGCAGATATTAATATGTCCCTCAACGTTCAGCTTATAACAAACACCCAATGAAGAGGAAGTGCAACCCCAGAGACCCTCGTCGTGTAATTAGTGAACATGCTGTAGATGTGTCGAGCTATCAAACATTGCCCGCTCGTTACTATCTCACCGAATCGGCTGTCTTCAACTTAGGCGACCGCCAAGCAAGGGAAATGTCACGATGTTGCGAATTTGAGAACGAGGTACCGATTAATTCGCCAGCCCGGGGAAACGTGTTGTCCGACTGCTGACGAATCCCTTGCCGGAATGGGATCGGTCAAGCTGACCTAGGGTATATAGGTAGTTATGATATATAATGAGACAGAAATGCGTTAGAAGTTCTTCGATCAAGGCGTCGACGGTAACAAGTCTGTTATTCGTTAGTCTAAGTTGCGGATTTCTTGTGAATGCAGCCAACATATAGAAGCATCTATCTCAGCCTACAACCTAAACCTGACATACTTATTGAGAGCTGGAACTATCCCGAGATAGCCATGATGGTTACCTTTCATAGTCTGATCACGGCTTTCTTTCTTCTCACCCCCGCAACTTGGGCGCTCCCACACCCATTCGAAACTGCCGTCACGGTGACGATTATTGACTCTACGGAGGCACCCCCCGGAGGATACGGACACCCCCCGGCCAGCACTCCCACTCCGACCGGGATCACGAATTCGACGACGAGCGCGACGGCGCCACCAACTACGACATTTCCCTTATCATCCTCTGCGTCGTCGTCCCAGGGTAGTTTTACGGGACACTGCGATTACAGCTACTGTAATTCCGGCAGCAATGTTTGCTTTTATTGGGCCGGGTACACGTCGTGGGACGTATCGCGAGGCCCGATACCTGGCGAAGTTCCTACCATCCTTGGGCCTTGCTAAGTTGGATGACGGGGGTGGATTGAGCTATATCTCTTGGAGATGCCGAGGCGGTGGGTGAATTTTACTAGATGTGATTAGGAATAGGTATAGGGGCGAGCATTCTGAGTACCTTGGGCAATCCTATCATTCCTTGAAAAGGTCGTGGGCAATAAGAACCGCATGGAAAGGAAATTCAAGGGGGACAGTCAGATCTGTCGTCCATATATAGGTACATTTGGAGCTGAACTACTTAAATACATGAACACCGTTCAACCGTTCCCTATGCAAACTCGACGTACGTTTCCACCCGATATCACGCAGCTAAAAGCGAAGTGTAAGCATACCGATCAATCACAAAAATAAAGGCGGACGTCTAGGTTGGTTACTTACTAGGACCGCCGATAGTAGTAGTGATGGGACCGCTCTCGACATACACGCCCGAGAAGAAGAAGTCCTCGACGCCGTCGGAGTAGCCAGAGCGCGGCAGCTCGAGAATACCCAGGTGCCAGTCGGCGCCGTTAGACGAAGTCGACGTCTTAACGGGGGCTACCAGTTGCTTCAGCTCGTCGCCGCCCTCCGAGTGCCAGAAGCCGACCGAGCCGCTACCGAAGTCGATTTCGAAAGCCACGTTGTGCCAAACGTTGGGCTTCCACTCCGTCTTCCACTTGGAGTTTTGCGAGACCATGCTGTGTGGGGAGTATCATATTAACAAGTGCTACTTATATACATAGGTAGGTACTGTTTCCAGCGCCTCGGCACTGAGAAGCGTGCCCTGGGAAAAGAGTATGGCATGGACACTTACAACTGCAAGTTGGGGTTCTCGGCGCCCTGCTCACCGGAGATCCAGCCGTACTTCAACTCGGTAAAGTGGCTTTCGAAGAAGCAGATCTGGTGCTCGCGGTTCTGAGACGGGGCATTGGTATCCTTGCGGAGTATGCTGAAGTGGTAAAACACTTTGCCGCTGTTGATAGCAGCCTTAGTCTGGGGGATCAGCTCGATGCGTCGCATGTTCTGTCCATTCCAGAAGGCGGTCGAGTCCAATGTAAACTTGGCTCCCTGCTTCGATACCGTGTCCGCCGGGTTCTTGAAGTCGGGCGAGAAGTTGATGTACTTTTCGACCGAGCCCGATCCGTGGATGTAGTATTGGTACGGTCCGACTTGGTTACCCCACGACCATTTGTTCAAGTCGGCTGATGTGCCCAGGTCGTTGAATCGTCCGTCCCAAAGAACGGCCGCGCTGGCGACGGCAGCCAGCGCTGAAAAGAGAGTAACCTTCATCTTAGAGGACCTAAGATATCTTGGCGACTACCTTGTAGGTGTTGGAAGGGAATGCGCGGGCCCGGTTAAAGGGTTATGCGGATTGAAATAGTCAAAGAATGAACCCGGTGTTAGAGTGTCATGTACGGCTTCCTGAGGGCGGTGGCGTTTTATACACGACGGTACGATGGGGACCATTCATCGTGCCATTAGCACCCCAACCGGGAAACGTGCACGGGACAGGGGTTCCATTAAGGAGAGATGGTCCAAGCACGGCCTAGATTCAATCTAAAGATGGCAGGCCGGACCGTAGGAAGACGACTAGGAAGAGGTCTATAGCAAAGCTTGTAGTGAACCGCGGATAGGAGCCTCCGACGATCTTGCCCCGGAGATCATATTATATTGAACGTGGGGGACTAAGGGTCGTGGAATTTAGCCTATTCAGATATGTAGACCATACTAGCCGTTCTACTTCCCGCTATTCCCCATGGTGGATCTCTTTGCGGATCAAAACGTGTCTTAGCTTTTAAGCAAGCATTTATTAGCGTGCTGAAAAGAGCTGTAAGGATTACATGTAGAGTACCTACAGATATAAGGTAACTTAGGTATACATATCATCTGAGGCAATTTACATCAACTACCCCTCGGCAACCAACCAAAAATCCTGATAACTAAAGCATGAATTGTGTATGTCTATCGCCTGCGGGGCTCAGAGTGTCATGCGGGTAGGGAGACACAAGGAGATATAGATGAACCTTTCGCGAACTCATCGATGAACATCGTGAGCAATCCTCAGGATAGCCCACCGGGGGCATGTTTAGTATTCCAATCCCGCACCGAAGCTACTGTTTCTAGCTACGGTCGCTTGTTCTAAACTGACTCTGGGCCGGTCGATACTCCTCTTGCTCTGTGATGTACTCGGTCGTGAATCGATTGGGTCACCTTGTTCTGCAGCATAAACAGCAGCTGCCGGTATCGACGTATCCTCGCGGATTCTGTGAATGAAGTACGCAGCTACAAGTGCGAAGAAGCCTCCTGAGGCTAAGACAATAGCAATGCTGTGGTCGCCAGGAACGCCTCTTGGTTTCTGGAAAATACGGAAGATAATGCTGGAAGCAAGAGTAGCGATGAACTGTGGTGAAGCAATAGCCATATTGTGGATACCGAGGATAACACCGGCTTGGTCTGGTTCCGCCTCGTCAACTTGCAATTGAGACTCCTCGTCGAGGAGCCCATCGTCAGAGTCGGCAATATCTAACTGCCCACCTCGCGCGACTGATCTCATTTGTTGTTTTCGAGCTCGGTATAAAATATCGCGACGACTGATTTCGGCGCTAATGATGGCCCATGGTGCCCAGAGTGCCAAAGCCCATGTAATACCAAGAAGGCCAATAAGCGCGGTCGCAGCCTCAACTGTTCGGACGAGCACTGTACAAAACATCACACCAGCAAACAGGATTTCCGACAACATCCAGGCTCTTCGCAAGGTAAACCCGGGAATGACTAGACGGGCTAGGAAACTCTTGTTATCGGAAACAGAACTTCCAAGAAGCGCAGGAGCTTCTCCGGGCGCATTTGCAACAACAGGGTTGTTATCATACGTCGGGTCGATGAAGAAAGGAAGCAGAACGTTAGTTGCTAGACTGGTGACGGCGAATATTAATAGGGCAAAGGTGCCCACTCTGGTAGCCCTCTCGTAAAGCTCATCCAACTCTTCGGGACTCATGTGGGGATTCTCTTCTAGGAAGGGCTCGACGTAAATTTCTCCGATATAGGATGATGTGTAGAACAGCATGGGAAAGAAGCCGATCCACGCTGCAAACTGGACAATGCAAACCTTGGAGACTTGCGGTGGAAGTCTTTTGATCGCAGCAAATATCTTCACAAAAAACGACAGAAGGCCAGGTCGGTCGGTAGCAGGACGTCCGTCAAGTTGAGGATTTCGCTCCTTAATGGCTACAACGCTCAATATCACCGTCGAACAAAGCGCAATGCTCGCAATGGCGCAAAGATCTTTAAACTGAGTGCTCCCAAACCACCAAACATATTTCGGTAGGTCAATTCCACCAGCGATGTACCCAATAATGTTGCCGACACCCACAAGCCTGCTAGCCATAGAGTTTGCAGCCTCTTGTTGATGCGACGGCGCGCAATCAACGATGAAGGCCCTAATAGATGCCTGAACTGTATTGACAGCAACATCTAGAACGTAGATCCAGATGACAGCGACAACAATAATGGTGATTTTCACTGTATGGGAATCGGAGTCAACTCCAAACAAGCTGAAAAGCCCCCCGATGATCTCTCGAATCCACGCAAGAAACATATAGGCTAGCGACGTGGCGGCAGCACCGCCGAGCATAAATGGCTTGCGCCTCCCCCAGGACACTCTGCAGTTATCACTGAGCATACCGACATATGGCTGTACTAGAGTTCCAGTAAGCGGACCGGCGACCCATACAAGAGCCATTAGAGATTTGCTTAAACCGAGAGATAGTAGGTACGGAGTGCCATTAGATAGCTCTACGGCCCAGGCGACCTGCAGTCCTCCAATACTAATCGTCAAGAGTAGTAGGTACCATAAGCTCTTGGTTGTCTGGAACTCCTCCTCTTCAGCCTGTCCCTCATGACCCTCGTCTAGGGAATTGTCTCGGCTGGGGGAGAGGAGAGGAGAGTTCTCATTGAGCCTGTCCGGACCGGCAGCCTCCCCTGCGCTGACCCTTATTGTACTTTCGGACCACGCGGGATCGGCATTATTGTCTAATTTTGAGGACAGATCATATTTGCGATTCGACGAAGATCGATGGTCCGAGGACGAGGACGAGGACGAGGTGCTCGACAATGACGAGGTCATCGGTATGGTTTTGGCAACTAAGCTCGATAATCGATAATATGACGTCTAACAACGAAGGAGAAGTCGGCTACGGAAAACAAGGGAAACTAACGGTGGAAACGTGGTTGTCAACTTTATGTTGTTATGCGCATGCCTGTCAAGCGTAAAAGGTTATGGATGTAGAGAAGTTTCGGTAGACCGGGGTCGGATGAATTTAGCCGTCTATGTAGAAGGTAGTTGATGTATGGAATTAAATGTCACACGGTCTCGAACTCGAGGCAATAGCACGAGTCGCATAAGACCCCGAGTACAGCTAGAATGGTGGCGCGTGGTGGCGCGTGGTAACTGGTTAGCATGAAGAACAAGGGATAAGCTGGAAACTACCCAAGGTGGTAGTAGTAAGTAACGTGTTAATAGGCAGTCCAAGACGCTAGTTATAATGCGCATGACTTGAGGAAATGGATGCTAATAAACCAGTCGGATTGCCGAAACTCGTTGGATTAGGTACATTATTCGATTATTAGTCGCGATGACATCAGGCACCTTGCGACGTAATGGGACTAAAGTAGACTGTGGAGAGAGGCTAGACTCTGTCTGGTTTAGACTTAAACTTTGTCTTTAGTACATAACACTTGTCACCTTCAAGTCGCAACTTTTCTTCAATATTCTCAAGAGTCATGTCTAGAGATTAATGTATACCTATGTATACCTATTGGTGTAAATTGTACCTACACATAGGTAGTACGCGTGTTACTCGTGTTTTATTAGCCTAGTGGAAGAGCTATTTAATCATAAAGCCTACCTCTCCTTGAAGTTTATAACGATTTAAGATAAAACCGTAAGCGGGGTAGAGGCACACTTGTATTCTAGTTATGTGCCTATCTAGTGAGATATCGCTATAACGGGACTAAGCCGTAAAGTCCGTTCCCGCCTCAGCTTGCTTTAGGTAAGTATTTACAGGTGGGTCAGGCCCTGCAGGTGTAGTGTACCTGTACCTACTACGTACGCATTTTGCGGTAGTGCGGCGCAATCAGCAATCAGTAGCCAGGAATAGTAGAAGGTGCAAGCTGTCGATTTCAACTTCTCGCATTGATCAAGCGCAATAAACCGAATTTGACCTCAACTCGTCCTCACTTCTCATCGCATCACATCACATCAAACCGAGCAACTAGGACTCTCGACGTTTCATGCGTTCTCACGCCCGATTCTCAGTGCTCAGTTTGGAGCAAGAAATCTATATTCTACCCAAGCATCAGCACCCGACTTGACGTCTTTGTCGCGACCATGTTGACAGAAATTGCCGGCTCCATTATGGAGCTTGTTCGTACGCCAACCAATTCTGATCCATCATCACATCTATAACTTACCTAACCATAATGCCCTGTAGGACGAGAGGACGAAGAGACAGATCCCGATGGTATGATATTATTACCTGATTGCCCAGCTTGCGGCTCGCGGCTCGAGGCTCGAGGCTCGAGGCTGCATATCGACTTGATCTAACAACTTATCAGAGGCCGACTCGGGGCAGAAGGAAATATTCGCATCGTGGGCGCTATTCATATCAATTGTGCTCCTCATAATTGCCTTCTTCACCAGCTATATGCTACAGCAGAAGAAGGTCCAAGCTGTCCATGAAACAGTAATCTCTATCTTTGCTGGTTGGTCATAGAACGAGAAGAACATGATGATAACAATAAGCTGATCTTGAATAAATAGGAATGACCGTAGGGTTAATTCTTAGAGTGAGCACCGGCCATTCTATTCGACAACTCGTTAGCTTCGACTACCAGATCTTCTTCAACTTACTGCTGCCACCCATCATCTTAAACTCCGGATACGAGCTACACCAAGCCAATTTCTTTCGGAACATTGGTACCATCCTGACCTTTGCCTTCGCCGGTACTTTCTTGTCTGCCGTAGTAATCGGCTTGCTATTATGGTTGTATACCCGAATACCGCTTGAAGGGCTCGAAATGACGTTTGTTGATGCCATCTCCGTTGGTGCAACTTTATCTGCTACAGATCCAGTCACTATCTTGGCCATCTTCAATACGTACAAAGTGGACCCAAAATTGTATACCGTGATCTTTGGCGAGTCTATCTTGAACGATGCTATTGCGATCGTCATTTTCGAGACCGCGCAGAAGTACAAGAGCGATTCCGCAGGTGCATATGGATTTTTGAGCTTCCTCGAAGGTGTGGGCATTTTCTTGCTCATCTTCTTTGGTAGCTTGCTTATCGGGGTTCTGGTTGGGGTTGGTACCGCGCTGGCTCTGAAATTTACCTATATCAGGAGGTACCCTCAAATCGAAACTTGCTTGATCGTGCTGATCGCATATGCGAGCTACTTCTTTTCTCAAGGAGTAAAGATGTCGGGTATGTCTTTGCTCTCGTATCCTATTCATCCTATTCTAATAAGGTAGCATCTAATACTCGGTAGGTATCGTGTCTTTGCTGTTCTGCGGCATTACTCTCAAGCACTACGCATATTTCAACATGTCACGACGAACACAACTCAGTACCAAGTACTTCTTCCAAATATTAGCCCAACTTTCCGAAAATTTCATCTTCATCTATTTAGGGTTATCATTATTCACGGATAATGACCTCCAGTTTCAACCGCCTCTGATAATTGTCACTATCGTCGCCGTTTGTGCCGCACGATGGGTAGCCGTGTTTCCGTTGTCTAGAGCTATCAATTGGTTCCACCATTACCGGGCACGGCGTCAGGGTAAGGAGGTTAGCGACGAACTTCCGTATAGCTACCAAGCTATGCTATTCTGGGCCGGTCTACGGGGAGCTGTCGGTGTGGCGCTGGCCGCTTTATTAACCGGGAAAAATTCATACGCGCTGAAGGCTACTGTGCTCGTTGTGGTGGTGCTCACTGTGATCATCTTTGGTGGCACTACGGCGCGAATGTTGGAGATACTGGGTATTAGGACGGGTGTTGTCGAAGAAGTTGACAGTGACGACGAATTCGACATCGAAGCTGCGCCATCGGGCTCTTATTATAAACGGTCTGGGACCGGAATCGGGTACAATCCCCGACAGAGAAATGGGTCTGTGCGTCTTAATCGGGTGGATTCTGGGAGACTCCAGCAACCCGCTGGACCAGAACGAGGAAGTTATGTATCAGGGCATCGTTCACCGTCTTTCCCAACATCACGTGCTACTAGTTCCAGCCGTAAGGGGTCTCGCCAAGTTGGTGAGGATGTCGAACGAGCGGATCTCCTAGGCCGTAGCGGTAATGTGACCGACTCGGATCTCGGGAGCGATATCGATACATCAGATCTCCCGCCTCCAGCACGCAAAGCACCGCGGAGCCCTATTCTTACGCCTAGCGGGACGTCAGAAGAGGAAGGTGTATTCTCATACCCAACCTCAGGTCACCGAGAGGCAGCACCTATTTCTACTAGGGCAGCTATTAAGCAATTACTTACCGCCCAGGACCCCCAGGCCTTATTTAGACAACTTGATGAGGATTACATCAAGCCTAAACTGCTCCTTGATGGGGGTAACGGAGGCCCAAGCGGTGGGAGAGGGAACGGTGACGAGGACTCCGAATGAGCCGAGTGATAGGGGAATATTTAAAGGAGGTACACCGATCTCCGCGCACGAATGAATTCTGTAATATACTATGTAAATCAGAGTTCCATTGGCATTTTAAGGTTATAGACATAGTGTTTAAGCATCGCAAACTATTACTGTACGATAATAGGGTGGTTTGTTAGTACATAGCTTATGCCTGGCGTTGTATTATGGTGTAACATTGACATATGTCCCGTCGTCGTTATCGATATGCATTTGAGATGACTGGATGATTGATGAGGGCTGTGAGGCTGCGAGGTAACAGTGGTTGGCTGTGTTGCTACTCGCTAGCCCTAAATAAGGAATGCTTTACTTGCAGCGGATCCCGTTCAGCCCGTTCTAAACTTCGTCATCCCTGAACCCCTTGGGTAGTATCTGCGGATTACATATATGTGATATATCAAGGCTATTTATCGAGTTTATGCATTTATGCAATCTTGTGCTACGTACCCCTTAGACCTTAGGGGATCTAGTGGGGACGATTACGGGGACGTTTACAGGTGGCACAGGTTGTTACGAAACAACTAGACAAATGGGAAAAGGGACCGACTTTATGTATTAACAACCCCTACATGGTACAGTTTAGTTCACCACGTCTAATTCACCACGTTTAACCGTGTTGAAGTCTAAATACTAACAACACAAAGCCACCTAGGACATCGCTTCTTAGGTGTGTTTACACAAATAGACTCACTTTTACTACTAATATTCCGCTTGTCTGTTCAGATATGCGTCCGTTATAGCTGCAAGGCGCATGCTATCTGCCTCGATGCCAGAAACGTGAAGATACCCCCGACCGTGCCATCCCTTTACCGACTCCCACCTCGTCTGCTCGTCTCCTCGTCTGCTCGTCTCCTCGTCTGCTCGTCTTCCCGTCTCCTTTACCATAGACTCTACCTCGAGTCGACAGCATGGCTTCGTATAGTAATACAATGCCAATGGCAGCCCCTCGGCCTGGTCAACAGGCCAGTTACGGTGCGCCAATGCAGAACCACGCCCCAATACCAGGTATACATGGACACTCCGCTCCTGCTGGTACCTTCGCTCCGGGCACCAAGATACAGGTCGGCAACCATAGGGTAGTAATCCAGAAATACCTATCCGAAGGCGGGTTTGCACATGTCTATCTCGTCAAGTTACCACGCCCCGTCGATGGAACCGATCTGGCTGTGTTGAAGAGGGTTGCTGTACCGGACAAGGAGACTCTCCGCGGGATGCGGACGGAGGTTGAGACGATGAAGCGGCTTAAGGGGCACGAAACAATTGTTACATATATCGATTCGCACGCGTCCGAGATTAAGGGCGGCAGCGGATATGAAGTGTTCCTACTTATGGAATACTGTAATGGCGGGGGACTGATCGACTTTATGAATACCCGGTTACAGCACCGTCTTACCGAGCCCGAGATCTTGAATATCTTCTCCGATGTTGCAGAAGGTGTCGCCTGCATGCATTATCTCAAACCTCCTCTGCTGCACCGAGACTTGAAAGTTGAGAACGTCCTCATCACAGTAAATGGGTCCAAGATGAAGTTTAAGCTGTGCGATTTTGGTTCGGCGGCCCCTCCGAGACCTGCACCTCAGACTGTCGTAGAATGCCGCTTGATGGATGAAGACATTCAAAGGCATACTACATTACAGTACAGAAGTCCGGAGATGATTGACGTATACCGAAAGCAGCCAATAGACGAGAAATCGGATATCTGGGCTCTGGGAGTGCTCCTCTACAAGCTCTGCTACTATACTACGCCATTTGAAGAGCAAGGGCAGCTAGCCATTTTGAACGCAAGCTTCAGGTTTCCTAGTTACCCAATATTCTCCGACAGGTTAAAACAATTGATCGGTAAGGTATACAATCCGGTACTGGAACGTCTATACTAAGCAATCTCATAAAGCATCCATGTTACGAGAAGACTTGCGATCTCGACCAAATATTTACCAAGTGCTCCGAGAAAGTTGTCGGATGCAGGGACGTGAAGCGCCTATACACGACGTAGGTATAATTCCCCGGTCTCTCAATATTCATCTAACGTGTTATAGATTTATTCCGGACAATCCCAGTCGGAGACTAGGAAAAGCGAGAATCAAGCAACTGCTGGCAAGGAGAGCAGGGGCACGCCAGGTATAGGCGCTGTATATTCCCCTCCGCAGCTACCACAGACTCAGGCACTCCCGGATATTACACCCATGAGGCGTGGTAGGCCAACTATTTCCAGTCAGTCTGCTCCAAAGCAAGCAGCTAAGCCAAGCCCATCTCCGGCGAGAATCACAAGTGGTGATCCGTTTGCTGCGCTAGACTCTAAAACAGGGCCCGGCACCGAGGCGGATGAGCTATCATCTAGGTTCCCAACACTTGACCAATTCTCTCTTCTACATGACCAAGGTTCAAAATTCGACTTTGATAGTCCAGCGTCTCCCGCGGATCCACAGAAGCATATAAGCCAACGCGTCACCGGTCATCTAGCGGACGGAGCATTTATTAGGCCTCAAGCCACAGTAGGAACGACACCAACAGATCAAAGACAGTCAACAGATCTAAGCCGAGTGATTTCGGTAACAGCTGTAACTGAGTTGCGAAAGTCATCGCCGCCACTTGGTTCAGTCAGCAAGCCAGGTTCCGCGCCTCCTAAACAACCCTCGGAGATGAGTCGTGCTTCGGCCATAATATCCAGTAATCCTGAGCTTCAGGCCATTTCTTCCCCTCCGCCGCAAACTCCTCAAGATACCCTAAGTAGACCATCGATGGTCTCAACTGGAACCATGACTAGCACCCCTCCCTCTGAAAGACAAACCCGAGATTACCCTCCGATCCATCGATTCCCTCCAGCAGACCAGAACCGCCCAGCGAGTTTACCTAGACAGCAGGAACCAATAGGCACTGGTCAAAAGCGCCCGGATCTAGGTTATGCGCTCCGGCCTACGCCAACCCCTCGTATCGATTCCATTCAACCATCACCAGCGCATGCTCGGCATTCATCCTCATCCCGTCCATCTCTAGAAAGTGGTCGACCTACCGCCGAACAGCTCGAACCACTATCAAAGGCATCAGTTACCGGAGGACGTCCTAGGCCTGTTAGTACTTATCTCGAATCCGATATGGATTACCTTCGCGAACGGGAGGCAGCACCAAGGCCACTTCGTTCCCCTAGCTATTCACCAAATCTACTTGGGAATGCTTCATCCCCTAGACTTGAGCCCCAGGACGAGACAGCGATAGAGTCGAACGTAGACTTTCTCAGGTCGATGGAGGATTCTGATACGAAGAAGAAAGATAAAGTCACAAAACAGCATACAAAGCGCTCGAGCTTAACTTCCCTGTCGGGTACCAAGAACATCTTGGCCGGGAGGTTTGGTGATGCTTTTAAACGGTTTGAGACTACCCCTTCGGGATCAGGTGCACGAACACCATCCCCACTCAAGGACATGGAGCGTCACGATCTAACCCCCATTGCGGGATCGGAGGCAACCGACGGTCGTAGCGATGATGGGCATCTTGGGGAACCCGAGATGACACCGGAAATGCGACGGGAGCTTGAGCTACAAGCTCTTGCTGAAGAGGAACGGCGAGTGGAGGCTGCGGCTGCGGAATATAAGCAACGAATGGCTGCTCGGGACGGCGGAGGACCATCAGGTTCGCTGCCCAAGAGCATCGGTGGCGTTTCCCGAGCCGTAAGCATACAGAACCGCGTGCAAAATCTGCTAGATGAGTCGCAAAAGTCCTCACAGCAGGTTCAGCGCACAGCGTCCGGCTACGGCAAGTTCTCAGACGCAGCTGCGGCTAAGAGTCGTGTAGAGAAACAAGTTCCCGAAGTTCCCCCGAAAAACTTCACGGGCGGACGAGGCACCACTCCTCTCAAGCCTGTCCCTGCATCTACCGATGCTGCCGCCGCCGCCGCCGCCGCCGCTCGAGGTCGCGCTCAACCCGATCCCAGTTCCCCTGTTAAACCCACGCTCCCGCCGAAACCCACACACCTCAACAAACTCCCTACAGGCAATGCCCGCGCCCGGTCACCACCAAAAACAGCGCCGACACAGCGGCCTCCAGGGCCCGAGCACCGCAGCTCCTCGGAACACCTCGCAGGCGTGGGATTACCAGGGCGGCCCATCCTCGACATGTCCTTCAAGGAGAAGGAGGACTACATCCAGGACTTTGCCAAGAGGTACCCGAGCCTGAGCTCCATCGAGATGGTCGAGCGCGACTTGGATGCCGAGGCGGAGAATAGAGGGAGGAGGTAGGAGATGATGGAGGGAGCACCAGGTTTAGAAATTAGATATTAAGAAGCCGGGGAAACAAACATGTCTCGTCCTATATGTGTACCTACTTACCTACCTTACCTATGTACGATTGACCGGCCCCTCGCGTTATGTTGTGTTGTGTCGGGGTATTCTAGCGTTGGAGAGGCGGCATTTACTTTACTTACCTCACTTACTACTAAGTTCAGTGGCAACACCTCAGCAGACAGACAGATGTAGATGTGGAAAGGCGTTCACAGAAGGGGCAATTGAATACTATCCGCGCGTTTACGGGATATTTAATTAACGAGCGGTATTTGACTTTGTTCTAAGGGTCGAGATCAAATATTCTGAAATCAACGATGGCATTCTGAGGATTAATGAAATGTAACTGAAATGCAACTGAATCTCGTATCCAGACAAGTGAAGTTAAAGCTTCAGCAAGCTCGCCGCCCTCAGGAGCCTGACTTGCCAGACTGAATGAGTAATATAATAATGGTAGCTTTACCAATACAATCACCAATAGTTATAAGATGTCTTAAACTTTTCGACTAGATTAAAACTATATTCGTTACGGCCCCGAGAGTAGATATATATTATGTACCTAGGTGGGTATTATCTAGGTAGTAATTAAGAGTGACATGAATAATAAACCAGGGTAGACCATTATACAATAGGACATATCAACACTCATGGTACACATAATCCAAGCTAAAGCCTTCCACGAATTACCTCGAACCTCATTAGCAGACTTACCAGGACTAACGCCATAATACTCAAAAGAGGGCCCTGAAGATGCGGAAAGGTAGGTTAAGCCATGTCTTTTCCTCCACGACCCCATCCTCCTCCTCCATCTCCAACGGACGAGCTCCGGCCGTCAGATCGATATCGTTGAGTTTGACCCACATCTGTCGCCAACTACCTGACCATGTCTTCCAGAACACATACAAGAAAATGACGATCGGGGCAGCGAGGTACGCCTGGAAGAATTTTGCGGCTTCTGGGTGCGAATTAGGTGAGGGCTAACCGCCGAACGCGTTAGTGATAGTATTCCATAAATTTCAATTTCAATAGGGGAGGAGAAAGGGGCTCTATGATTCATGAACAACAGAAGAGTCGGGCTTACGTAAAGAGCGTTATAAAAAGTTGCAATCAGACAGATAATATTGAGAGCCAAGCCGATGACACTGCCCCAGATCCCCAGCGGTGGCCTGTAGGGGATCTCTCTCAGACTGCGTCCCTGTGCCTGCCAGGCCAACCTGAATCGGATATGGGCGAGGCAACAAGATCCCCATACGAATAAGTACGACAAGCCCGAAAGGGAGAGTAGCCAGTTGAAGACATCCAGCCCATTCGATGCCACACCGACATAACCCAAAAGACCGCATGCAAGTTGTACCATAACACAGTATAGGGGTCGGCCGGCTTTATCGATGTACGCGAGGAATTGAGGTGCCATGCCCCTTTCGGCCATGGCCTGCATTGTACGCGTCGAGCCGAATGTGCACGAATTAGCGACGCTAATGACTGAAACGGTGATGACCGCGTTGAATATCGACGGTAAGACAGCGATTCCGGCATCCTCGATGGCCAAGACGAAAGGCGAGTAGCTCGAGTTGAAGCCGGTCGAGTTCTCCAGCCGCGTATCGTTGGATGGCAGTATCAATCCAAGGATGAAGAGATTAATAACGTAGAAGAAGGCAATGCGGAAGAAGACTTGCTTAGAAGCCATGGGGATCGCGCGTCGAGGATCGACCGACTCGGCAGCTGCTAGACCAACCAGTTCGGTGCCGCCGAAAGCGAAGGCGGCAACGACGAAGACGCCTGCGAATCCATTGAAGCCGTTCTTGAAAGCCCCTGGATCATACCAGTATTTTGCGCCAAGATATCCCCTATCACCAACTCCGCCGCAGTTTATTATAATACCCAATATGATAAACCCTAAGATAGAGGTGAGTTGAGGTAGTTGAGGTATATTTGGGCTAGTTCTAGATACGAACCTGAGCAAGCCGCGATTTTGATCATACTAAGGATAAACTCGACTATATGTCGTCAGCCAGCACAACATTGAACCCATCAATACGCAGCCTCTTATTTACCTTCACCGTAGCCTCGCACACCGAATATCTGGATCAAGGCCAAGACGACCAGGAATACGGTAACCCAGATGGCTATGTTGAGATCGGGCCGCCAGAATTCGATGGTGATGCCGGCGGCGATTAGCTCGAACGGCAAGACCGTCAACCACGCGATGGCATATTCCCATCCCATCGCGAAGCCCCTACGCGAAACCTCAATTGTCAGTAGAGAGACATAGGCGCCAGGCGAAGGACATATTTACCAAGCCGGGTCGACGAATCTCACGACATAAGTATAGAACGCTCCGTTTACTGGATACATGACTGCTAATTCTGCGAGAGCCTGCATCGTGAATAGCAACATGACGCCGACGATGAGGTAGCCGATGATCTGAGACCGTCATGACGTTAGTATCTAAGCAGTAGCATATTCCGTTACCCTCAGAGACGTTAATAAAGGGGGGACTACCAGTGCAGCCGGTCCTCCGTGGTATAGAGCACTACCCGATCCGATGAACAAACCAGCTCCGATGGCGCCGCCTATTAGTATCATCGCATTAGCGAATCATTGCAGTTATTCGAAGATGCTACGCTCTGCAAAGCCCTCACCAATTGCTATCATTTGCATATGACGGTTCCTCAAATCCGTGCGAAGCTGCCCGCCCTGGTTGATGATTCCGACCTCCTCGTCATGGCCTCCATGCGCGTAGGGATGCGAGATAACCCTAGCATTATCCGCAACCTCTTTCTCGGTATCTTCTGACATCTTTGCGGATATTGGCCTTTTCCTTCCCTACGGTTTAATCCATTTATGAGTTGGTAGGTAGCGTGGGCCTTCGTGGAAGATAAGAAGGGGGGGGAGAAGGAAAATCGGGAAAGAATCAGCTATATCAATTAGCAGCGGGATATTCAGGTTCTGTATATATAAACTAGATGTACGGATCTACCGGTCTAGACCCTTGTTATAGGACAAGGCGGAATCCTGATGGCGCTGAAGGACGAATAGGCCTAGCCGCATTTATCACTGTCAATAATCAATAATGTAGGTAATGCGGGAGGTGTACGATATGTAACACAATAAGAAAGCTTGACACTGTTAGCTTTCTTTCATTTTTACTACGGTATTACAAGACTAACGAAGGGGGGCATCCGATAGCCTTGCTCCTTGTCTATCTATGCTGACGTCGCGGGAGATATGGGCTGGCTGAACTGCGTGCCGTGTACCAGCGAAGTTACGTGGCAGCGGCACGCGACCAGGTAAAAATGCAAGCAGGCTGCTGTCATACTTCCGTCTTCTTTCTGTTCTTTGTTGTTGATTATATGGTCCTGTTACGATTGGGATATGTAGTAGGTATCTGGAACCTATAGTGACCTTAAGAATAGTATGTCTTCCGGTTGGCTGACTACATGTACCTACATTACCTAGGTACCTAAGGTGTACTGCCGTATAAGATAGCCGTGGAGTGCTTGCAGAGGAAGAAAGAAAATACACCTATCAGATCAAAGTACGGTATCGAGAATTGGGACTATTTTAGGAAGTGCTGCTCTATCTATTTCACCCTACCCTACCCCGGCTGTAGTACATGGGAAACCCTGGCTTACCATGTACATGTCTGTATTTGGCCAATGCCTCCAATCGAGCCGCGTCGAAGCTGTGCAACAAAATACAACCTGAATTAGTTTCTAATAATTAGGTACCTAGGCAAGTTTATATTTGTTGCATTTCTCATCATCAGCTGGACTTTCGACTTTATAAGACAAGCATAGACTTCCAGGTATAGAGATATCTAAGAAGCCTCCTTATTTTCAGTAATGTTTGCCTTGAGGGTGAATATCACCGTTTGATATTAATTTAGCCGGCACGTATTATCTCTCTAACGATAAGCATTCATTCAGATCAACTCGTCTTTTGATCAAAGATCCATTGATGATGAATGTTTCCATTGCCATTGATATACGATACCTTATATAGTATGTGCTGCTTTAACATATGATGTCACTTTGCGGCTCTTCTAAAACGAACCGACAACGGTTTGTTGGTGGATGTGTTACCTAATGGAAATGGTCAACCGTACCAGCGCCGCGGGTGAACACGAATCATACCTGTCGATTATCAACGGATACAGAAGACTTCACTAGTTGTCAAATAAATCCGGGGTATCAATATCTAATAGACTGATTCAAGTCTCGATTTAGCTTGAAGCAATTTCAAACGTCCAAATACCTTTTTGAAGATCTGCTAATTTGCAATTGTTCTCCTTTTTATATCACAGGGATTATGTACCTAGGTATTTGGATGGTAAATCACGTTTACGAGAAGAGAGACAGAAGACTAAAGCACACATCACGCGACGATAAGTCAGGTACCTATGTAGAACTTTGAGAATACAGATTTGAACAAGGCGGAGATTCGAGATCAACCAAATAGACGCCGGTGCAGAAATTTACGCTTGGCAGGATAACTCCGGCATTGGATTGCTGTTCGGTGGCGTCTATAAGTCTGGCTAGCCCGATCGTAATTCATCGAATAGGGTTGGATATAAAGTAGACAGTGTTATGTGACTCTTTCCCGTGTCAGGTGATATGTCCTACTGTGATGTCGAATAATGCCTACATTAGGCTTGCAATAGTATGTGAGATAGAAGATGCAATTGGGTGTTTAAAATCGAGTCAATTTCCTAAACCTCAACGCCTGCGTATGTGCCCATGCATGTGTACACCGGTGTCAGAGTCAGCTTAACAATCGTGCCTTCGCCTGGCTCTGATTATTCCCATTGCTTCTACGTACCCCATGGATCAACAAAAGCTACCCCAGGCAAGATGGGCTTTTCCATTGGTTCAACCATCCCTCGCTCATACATCAAGAGCCATACAGCATCGGGATCTACAGCCTCCAGCGCAGCCTTGGCCTCAGGATTCGTAGGTAGTGTGTCTGCTAGCAATAGGAGGATCTGATCGAATACGTCGTCATCAATCTGAACAAATGACACGATGGCGACGAGAAGCTCCTGCACTGCCTCCCAAGTCTGCGCGGCTTGAGTAAATCTGCCTAGGCCCGTGCTTGACACGGCTCCGACTACCGTGCTCGACTCTTTGCCCTCGACACCGTTGCGAGAACGGGTTGGTATCAGGATATCGCGGTCTTGCTGATCATCGCGATTCGCTCTAGCTTTAACTTTCGCTCTACTGCTCGATTGGGTCGCGTCTACCTTAACTTTCCTACACCACTCACCGAGCTTATCCCACCATTCTGTCTTGATTCTCGTGTTAAGGAAATCACCGGCACTCTGGCAAAGCGTAGCCAGTGCTTTGCAGGCCGAGATTGTAACGAACGACTCAGAATCATACAGCCTCTCAACTAGAACAGGCCAGACCGAATTGACAAGAGGTAAAAATGCGTCCTCATCAGGTGAGAGCGCCGGGCAGACGGTAGCTAGAAGTTCCAGGAGCGATTTTCGCAACGTTGGCGAGGGGGATGTTAGATAATGTTGCGTTAGGTCGGTGATACGAGTAAGAATCTTGAAGGTGGGTGTTTTAGGGGGTGGAGGCTTCTCGACTTCGGTATTAGGCTCTTCGTCATCTTCATCATTCTCGGGCACGGTTGGATTTATCTTTTTCCAGGGGCGTTCTGGATGAGATTCTATATTTTCGCGGTGAAGTTCTTCCAGCCGCCGCTTTTCTCGTCTTTCTATCCGGCTAGAGAGAATATTGTAGATGTCTTCGGTCGTGACCATGGCTTGTAAAGTTTTCTTATGGTCTTTCGCTGATGACTTCACTGCATCTAAAAGTAAATGGTCGGAGTGTGACCCTTGCTGTACTACTTCTGTAAGCACGCTAAACAAGCTCTCCGCAAATAAAGGGTATCCGTGATAGTTGTCGAGAGCCGCGAAGATCGATGCGATCACATCGTCGAGATACGGTATCAATTTTGGACCGGTAAGCCTTATCATCATTCGTAAGACTTGAGTTGATGTTGGGGATATATCAAATGTGTTCAAACGTAAGGATACCGAGTTGACCATGTAGTCAACATTCTCGATGATTAGGTCAGTGACATTGGAGTATCCGCATGCCATTGCAATGCTATTGAGACTGATGATCGCATGATCCCGTAATTTAGGCACCCCGGAACCTAGAAATGTCGTGATAGGGTACAATACATCAATAAGCTCTGGACGAAAGCTTTCTTTCATCCTCGAAGCGGCAAAGGTCGTAACTTCTAAGGCGAGAGCTTGTAGTCGCCAGTCAACCTCTTCTGCCTCGGATTGGGAATCTAGGACTGCAACGGAGAAAGAGTAGAGCTCTTGGAAAATTGGTTCACTCTCGTCTGTTATACCAGTTGCCGGGCTTAAATCGAGGAAGTCATCTAAGTCCGAGGACTGAGATAGGCTCGACTTCATCAGTTCGAAGGCTAACCAATACGAGACAACCTGACTAGGCCCCGTAGAATCTCGGGCGTAGGTCAATAAATCGTCGGCTAATTTACCTTGCTGAGAGATAGACCCGACTTTCGATAGCAAGTCAAGGAGCGCTATTCGCGTAGACTTCTCGGTTTCTTGTGAGATCAGGATAGGCGGAAAGGTATTAGGACCATCCTGCCTAACCACATCCATGTTTAACTCAATAGCATTCGAAGGAAGCTCCGACATCCCGCTTGATTTCGATGCTAGGACAAGTGCAGTCGTACTATCCCTCAAGGAGGCGGCTAGCGAGTCGTCTAGGATAGATGAGTCAATCTGAAGAGTTGTGATGAAATGCTGGCCTTTTATGAGGTTTCGAATCGCTTGTTGTTTGATCTTGTCATCGCTGGATTGTACTATCCGAGGAAGACTTGTAACCCAATTGTATACCGTAGTCTTGATTGTGTCTCCGAGTTCCGGGTAGATCCTAGCTAGATCAGCTAGACTTGTCTCGAATACCGACTTCTCTTTTTCTCCATTTGCTAATATCATAGCACTCTCAACAAGTATGGATGCACATTCCGCAAGAGATTCATGGCACTCGTCTAGAAGGCTGATGCACAGTCTCTCCAGGGCAACCCGTATGTCGTCGGAATCGGCATTCCGTAACTTTAGCACACTTGCAAGAGCAAGCTTCACCTTAGATGTAGTTGCCTTCAACCACGATGGCGATAGGACCTTGCTCTCGCTAGTGTTTTCGCTTTCATTTCTTGCTTGCTTCTTCATTATCCCCATGACTTTTATGTCTCCTAAAACCCTAGTAAGTACATCCTTCATGGTATTGATACCGCCAATTAAGACTCTTCTCTGGTGTTTATATGCCGCAGGAGGTGTAAGTAGCCTGCTAAGAGACGATATTATTCCGGGTAGAAAAGTAGCTAAGGCGGCTTGATCCCTAATTGCGACCAGGAGCGCATCCAGCGCTCCCAGCCCCTCAAGTCTAATGTCGGACGTTTTGCCATCCGTAATGCTGTCTAGTACGACGGTGATAGCATGACCCAAGGCAGGTATCGCATTTGTATCTACCAGTGCGGCCGCTCCGGCTAACGAGGAACCAGTAGCTTTGATTAACTCCGTCAATGCCCTCAGTGCTTCCAGTTCTGTCTCCTCTGGAATCTCATTTTTCTTCTCCTGGCCGGGAACACCACCAATGATGAAAGTAAGAAATATGAAGAGCTGCTGAGAAAGTTCATTTGGAACCTTAGATTTCCATCCATAATGAATTAATATTCGCAGGCATTTAATGGTTAGCTCTGTCAATCGAATAGGATATTGCTGCTGATTTCGTAAAATGTTGGAGAGTGGGAAAAAGATATAATCAGCAAGCTTCTCATCCAAGACAGTCTCATCGACAGAAATCTGCCGATCTAGGACGGTAGAGAGGTCTTCGACCACGTTTAGTAGATCCTTAGCACTCGCTCTCTTATCGGATACACGGACGGTTAAATTATTGATGGCGACGCATCGTGGTTTGAGCTGTCTTAAGATTAGTAATGCACTCCCATTACCACCAACAGCGCATTTGACAAGGGATCATCAAACCTCTTTGAAAAATTCATTCCTAGTGGCGGAAGAGTTACTATCCATCTTAAGATATATTCGTCATTTTAGTCATAAGTTTAGCGTTTGCTATAAAATGATGCGATGAGTTTAATGTTGTGCTGTCGATGTTTCCTCGTTTGAAATAATTAATTGTAGGAGATTGACTGACTGACGTAGAAAGTACCTAACCTAATCTCCTAATATTATGCTTCTATCCAATTATGCATTATACATTATGCACTATGCACTATGCATTTAGACATATCCCGCAGGTGACTTCAACACTGGAGAATTCCACACATCAATGAATTAATAAGAGCTCATCTCAACCTAAAGTTTTAAAATTCTGAAATTGCAAGTCCTTTGAGCAAATATATGTTAATTCTCATCAGCTGAAAGGGAAGAAGATGGCGCCGTCGGGAACCTTTACTACGACGGTGCACCCTTTCGAATCCCCAACAGCCCACGCCTGTGCTTATGAAGTCGGCCTCGCCAACGCAAGAAATGCTCTCGTATTCGTCGGTGGGCTCGGTGATGGACCTCACACAGTGCCATATCCCCGGGCGATAGCTAAGCGTCTAGAATCGGAACCTAACCTAAGCTATTCTGTCTTTGAATTCAGGCTGTCAAGCTCTTTCTTGGGCTTTGGCTTTGGTCGTCTAGCTAACGACGTAGCTGATATATCGGCTCTCGTTAAGTATCTGCGGAGTATAGGAAAGGAACATATAGTCTTATTAGGCCATTCCACCGGAAGCCAGGATTTAATGGAGTATACATCGCCATCCCATAATGCCGCGCCGGTTGAAGGGTACATTCTTCAAGCACCAGTATCGGATCGCGGCGCGATAGCGTCGGAGATGGGTGAATCTAAATTAGAGGAAAGCCTCAAGATTGCCAAACAGCTTATCACTTCTGGTAAGGGCCACGAGCGTATGCTGCCTGAAAACCTCTCATCTTCCTTCCATGATACGCCGATATCTGCGTCGCGGTGGTACGCGCTTGGAGCAGCCGAGTACGTAATTTATTACTCAACGTTCAACTCTTTATGACACCTATACCTGACTACCTCTTAATAGCGGCGAAGACAACTACTTTGATCCCGGGCTCCCAGATGACATAGTTGGGCCTTACTGGAAGCGAGTAGATAAGCCAATCCTTATACTTCACTCGGGGAATGATGAATATGTGCCAAGTTCCATCGATAAAGATGCGCTTGTTCAGCACTGGAGGACACTTTGCCGGCCAGGCATCGCGAGTGAACTCTCGGGTACGATCCCGGGCGCCGGCCATAGAGTAGAGGAGCCCGAGGCGGAAGAATGGCTCGTCAACACGGTTGTTAAATTTCTGCAAGATATTAAATAATTGAGATTTCCGGTAACATGAGTTCGGATAGCTCATTCTCATCATAATTACTTCCCGTTATCGAGGAATAAAATGGGAAATTGAGCTATCAGATGATGATGATTATACGAATCTGAATCAGATTTGACCCCTTCTAACGGATTGCGGGCGCTAGTCTAAGCCGCGCTCGCTACTTCGAGGTCGGCGATCGTACAGAGTTCGGACACATCCTTTAGATTGTCATCGCCGAATGCCTCAGGTGAACACCGGTAGGACGTACTAAAAGTGCTGCTACAAATTCCAATACCTGACCTTCCCCTCTTCTAATCATTTCCCAAATCCAAACATTTTCAATTCCAAAGCAAGTGAAGAAACTCAACATAGTCGACATTTCATTACTCGCAGCCAGTCTATAAAGATGTGTTTCGGCGCAACGTGTCCAACCTGCTGTTAGTAATTTCTCAATATATACTCGGACCTCAGCTTTACCTGCGGATTTAGTGTTGTTAAATTCGACTTATGTATTAATGTTATCACAGCAGGAAAATCCTGGCGGGGATGCGGTTCGCATATCCCGTCGGCTCTCGCGGGGGTCCCGGAGAAGCAATGGTGCACTTGCCAGCCGCAAGTCACGGTCGACGGAAAACCCTACCCTCCGTCGGCAAAGATGGCGATTCCCGGCCTGTCTTGGCTTGGTAGTATATTCGGAAGCCGAGGTGGGCAGGGTACCGGCGGTACGGATACGAAGGGCAAGGGAGAGCTTTGACTTGGGTATTACCTATCCGATTTTGAATGCGGCTATTGAAGCTTATTGCTCCGTTCCTCGCAACTTGGCTTCTCCTCACCAATGCCCCTCTCCCCTCTCCCCTCTCTTAATCATCATCTCAACCCCACCAGAGATAAGTAACCCGAGCTAGGTCCATGAGGTAATGAGGTAACTATATTATGTACCTAGGTTACTTGATAAAAGATATCAGCTCGAACTATCAAGCCTCTCTTTTAATTTATTCAAGATCCTATGGCGGGCTGTATTTCCTGTCTGCTTATCCTTGGCTTATATCCATTTAGGACTTATACTTATGTATAGGGACCTATACTCGTATTGCTAGGGGAATAGTCTAGGGTATCGTTTAAAAATGTTACTCCTTAACCCCTTCCTACTAGCTGTCGCGTGCTTTGCATTGAGCATCTTATATGTCTGGAAATGTATCGCTTCTCCTCTACGAACCCTGCCTGGTCCAAGGATCTCATTATTCAGCTCATGGATTCTTAAGTATCATGAATTACATGCCCATCGCACGAGATATGTACATAGCCTTCACCAGAAATATGGTCCCGTTGTCCGGATAGCCCCGAATGAAGTATCATTTGCGTCTCTCGAAGGCGTGAAAGAGATTTACGGTTCGGGTGGAAGCGGCTATGATAAGACGGAGTTTTATAATCTCTTTACAATATATGGTCGAAGGTAAGGTACATCGCCAAGTAAAAACTAGTTGAGGACTCCTAGGTTAGATATCTTAACGAGCACACGAGCTTACAAAAGATCGCACAGGACTATGTTTAGCACCTTGAAAAGGGAGGATGTTAGTCCCCCCATCAACCACCCGATCTACGAAAAGTCAAATCCTAATAGACGTTTAGCACGCTAGGAGGAAAAGAGTCCTCGCAGACCGATACGCCAATACTAATATCCTAAAATCGGAGTCGCTCCACGGGATCAGAGAACGGTCAAACCGATTCGTTGAGAGGTGCTCAAAGTTTGCCGGTGGAAGTGTTGACATATTTGTAAGTGAATCTGGACAGATACTAATAAATGACATGCTAATTAGAAGTTACCTAGATTTGTATGCCGATATTCGTTAACTCTCAGGGGGCTCACTAATGAGACAAACTAGGCCTACACGACTATGCGTTTGATTGCGTGACGCATCATCTTTTTCATCCCTACGGATCGGATTCGCTCCAGAATCCAAAAGACGAGGAAATTATGAAACAGGTGACTTTTGATGATAGCCTTCAGAGTCAGTCTCGTCCTAAGCCCATGCACACCTCTGGTTATGCTAATAAAAGCCAGATCGTCTAGTCGAGTACTATAACCCAGGCCTACACAAGATAATCGGCAATGTTCTATCTTGGTTTGCTAAGCCGCGTCAGACACCTCTAGCAGACGAGTTGGTCTTGTCCGCGAGCGCGAAGACTGGTCCTGCGCAGTTTACTCTGCTGAGTCGTATGCAGGACAAGAATTATGAGATGGAGCATATTGACATGGCAGCCGAGTGTCTCGATCACATGGCTGCGGGAATAGACACCACCGGTGATGCTTTATGTTTCCTGATGTGGGAAATCTCACAGCCTATATCATTCTATGTCCAGCAACGTCTCCAGGAAGAGCTCCGTGCCAATCCCGAAGTGGCGTTTGATAAACTACCCTACCTCGACGCCGTCGTCATGGAGGGACTTCGTTGCTTCCCGGCAATCCCCATGTCCCTCCCACGATACGTCCCTTCTGGCGGTCGTAACATCGATGGTTATATGATCCCCGAGGGAACAATAGTGAGCTGCCAAGCGTACTCTACTCACCGGATCGACGAAAGTGTATTTCCGCAGCCTGACACATTCGATCCGGATCGCTGGCTACAGGAGGCAGGAGAGTTGGAGAGAAAGCGGCTATTCTTCGCTTTTGCTAGTGGTGGTAGAGGCTGCATCGGGAAGCAGTAAGTCACAACCGAGCCTGATTTTTAAACAACGTTGAAAATTACTAACGGCAATAAATAGCTTGGCGCTCGCGGAGATGAAGACCCTGCTCAGAGACGTTTACTCACGGTATACTACCGTACCTGACCCGTCTATGACTGCCGAGGATATGGAGATGTCCGATCAGTTAATCTCTTCGCAACCTCGTGGGAAGAAATGTCTTTTGACGCTTATCCCTCTAGGGGATGGGGTCTAAGGAGGTTGAGTATACATAGGTAGGTTGGTGAGAATGTAAAGCTTTGCATGTCGAATGTATTCAAAGTCTATATGAGGTAGTGTACCTAATGAAACTGATACGTTGGTCGATGCGTTAGCCCTGTTCCTATCCTACCCTAGATGTGTACGTGGTGAGTGCGTCGTACGATATCATGTGCCATCAAAGGCTGAATTTAGTTCCGAGTCGCGCAAGGGGTTTTACGAAGGTTCAAACAGAGATTGCTATCGTGGTCAGATCTCATGGTAGAGAGGTATTCGTCAATGTGCCTTTCACTGCGCTTAACTCGGCCAGAGATATTATATTGGTGCTTTTTCCATCTATCAGCGTGACCCCTTGCCAAGCCTGACTCGTACGAGAGCTAGAACCCAACAGGAGAGGCCTTGGATACATACATAGATAGATATAGATGAACCCATCATATGATGGAACGGAGCGTGCCATATTACTAGTGGAGTAAGTATATCCCTCTTTCCTACTCCAGTATGCAGCTCGCTTGTCGAGATGTCCCGTCGGGTTGATTTCTTTGCGAAGCGAGGAGTTTATCGGCGAGTCCCTAACTCGAGGGGGCTTGAGAGGCACGGACGAACCCGAGGGCGGCGTCCGGGGTTGGCGGTCTTATCGTCGACCTAGCTTTGGACGTGCTATTAGTGAGAACGGCATGAAGAGTGTCTCACAGGGTATTTCTCTGTGCGCAAGAGGATCACCTCCGCCACAGCTCTAAGCTAGATAGGAGTGGCCGGGGAAAAGTGAGTTTAGATAAGCTTGGATGGGACCTCAAAGCATTCTGTATACAATTTGATCCCTAAAATAATGTTAGCCTACGGATCGTTCGACTGCACACAACAGAATATACAGATATACAAAAACTACCTACTTACTACTTCGATATTTTTAAAAAGGGTCACTCTAAGGAGACATGTCTCTTTGAAACAATATTATTACGATTTCTTCATTTTCCTAGACATCGTAAGAGAGGATTCATATATAGGAGTATTATCTTCATCGTAAGCATTAAAATGTATTATGAAACAATTAATCCCCGGAGAACTCTGGGCCATCATATTCTACTTGGGCACGGTGATGATGATTGCCATGGCGAGACCCGATGGTTTGGAACTCATTTGGGTAGACCTGTGGGGAAGGGCTCACAAGTATATGGCTTGTGATGCTACTTTGCTAAACAAGGCTATTAATACCGCTGTTTTAAGACACTAGCACCTAAGCTTTCGAAAGTATAGATTGATTATATTATAACAGGTTTATCATGAAATACTATGCGAAGAAATATGAGGTAATACGCCGGATAGGTCTTGTAGTAGGGTATTTCGAAGGCCAATAGATAATTTGCAACCTTACAGGGCGTTTAGGTACATGTGAAAAGACGACATAAAGGGATCAGCCACCGTGGTACTGTTCTAATACATTCACTAAGGAATTCATGAGAGAATAGGCTACATTTTGACATTGTAAACATGGTAAGTAAGTCCGTATGTATTTCTTAGTAGTGACTGTGAAGGTGAATGTTTATGCACGATCTACCGAGCTTGATCCAGTAGGCAAGACTCCGCGAGAAAAGCGACATTCTAGATTCTCAAGTCAAAAGGGATGTGGCATTGATGGACGGGGACTGACAAGGGGGCTCCATATGCATTCTTCTGCAGACAATCCCCGGGGATATGGTATCCTGCGTACCTTAATGCTACATTACATGCTCTACGATCGGTCTGCAGCTGTATGCAACCCTCAAACGAGGCCACGGACTCTCGGCCAGCCACGGGACTGGGTATGTTGCATATGCTGGGCTAAGTTTCTCCTTGACAGGCCTTGGCGGATCCTGCAACTGGACGAGCTAAGTCGGATATCGGTTGTTGAAAGACGTGCAGTTTCCTGTGTGTCTAACAGTGTTGATCTTCCCACATGGGTTGATGCTTACAGGCAGCGTGGGGGTCAGAAATGTAAGAAGGGAGATCGGGGATAAGGTACGGATGAAATATGGATTGGATGGAGTGAGTAATCCATACCTATCCAATCCATACCTATCCCATGCATATGGTAATCTAGATTAAGTACGGGACTAGGATGGCGAGTATGTATTAGTGCAAGCGAGGGGGAGCATGGACAGCACTAGCGCTTGTCACCTCGAGCTGTGAAAAGAAACAGGGGGTTTCCTTTGGGAACACCCGAATTTAGCGGATATGTACGTCGGTATCTAAATCTACTTGAAACCCTGAACTGACTTCTTACATGTTCTAGAAAAGCCCCTATTCAGTAAAGGGCAAGTTCAGAGCCGATAGGAATCTGCAACAGATAGACCCAACCTAAAGGGAACTCCGGACTCTTCTTTGCTTTTTGTGGCACATAACCTGGTCTTCGGGACTAGCAGGCCAACGACCCTCCATCGCAGAGCGAGGTATTTACGAATGTAGTGTTACGCCACGATATCCGGGTCCAGCGACAGCCTCGTGGCGAAGACGAATCAGTACCTAATGTAGTAACAAGAAGAAAATAACATCGTTTGTTCTTCCCTTTTGTATATATTCTGCTTACAACCTCCTTCGCCGCTGAACTCTGCTGATTATGACGTTAGAACGAAGACGAAAAGTACAAGGGGGGCAAAGAGATTTTTCATCCAGGTACCGAATCCGCGGCTGGATCTGGTCAGTCTGACGCAAACCCGCAGATAATCGACACTCTATATGTACACGATCCGGCAAAGTACTACTAGCATACCATAGATCTATATCTATATGCGGGTCAGCGTCAAAGCGACCTACCATATGGCAGCCCGATCCAAGCCAGGCGCGGTGCCGATGTATGAAACCGAAAGAGTAGGCTGCGCGTTGCGAGAGAGGAGGAACGAGAAAATAGGCGACGATCGTTTTCCTCAACGCCGTTCCGATGCTGCGATGGTGCTGTCACCAACCATGTCGTTCCCCCCCCCCTGCTCTTATGAGATATGACCTGTAGGATATCGGCATAAGAAGATTCATACCACCGATCCCTACTTTTCACTATGTTATGCATCATCTACTGTCGGTCCTGCGTTATCTTGCGTTATGTGTAAGTAATCCTTTTCGACACTGGTCCGATTTCCTCATAGCCACATTATTACCTACCTACCTGGTAGTTACCTGTTAATAGCGTAAGTTTGGATTGCCTCTTAGATGTATGTAGGTACGCAATCCTAATTTTTTCCGCCTCTCACCGCTCGTCGTTTGGGAATACCTTGACCATGTTTTATAGTCTTGGCGTACATGTTTTTTTTACTTGGGTCTGGTGGGCACATTAAACGACAATCCCGGATTGGTTCGGTGTCAGCTCCTAGGTAACATTGTACACTATCAGATGGTACAATTCAGGTCAGGGGCTTTGGGTTTTTTGTCGGATCAGCGGGTCAGCGGTCTCTTTTTTTTTCGTGTCACTTTTCAGATATCTATAGATTTGGAGATCCAGAAGAGACAGCTTCAGGTTTGTGTGCGTACCGTACATATGCACATGCACTATTATAACGTAATCTAGGCGCGTATTGTGCATTTGTTGGTACTGGCTCGGATCAAATTTGTATACCTATCATAAAGGAGATCTCTTAAAACTTTATCTGATAATGATACATTACTTACCCAGGTATGTAAGTAGACTACATGTTACGGATCCGTACTTTTACATCCAACAACGGAAATCAAAAAGCGGGACGGGCCTTTACCCGTGTGAGTGGAACCTGAGGATATAGATGCCTATTATAGCTAATCTGTCCGTTTATGGCATCCAATTATTCTTACCATCGTTGCTGTTGGAGGACAAAATAGTCTGCAGATTTGCCTAGGTGCATTCTACTATGTAGCTTGTCAAATAACATATTAGCCTGCCCATACTAACCCTGAACATGGTTGACACCGTAGGAAGTAAGCACTTAAATCATATTGGATACTGAGTTCTACGCCGGTCGAATCAGAATCAAAATCTCATCGGGCTCGGCTAGAACATCGTCTTGCTTGCTATGCCCCAATACGGAAGGGGAAACAAATCTGAAGTCTGAAGATAGTATAGCGTAGAAGCGTTACTTCTTTAAGCGCTCACTCGTGTCAATTACATCCTAGCAAGAAATATCTAGACGTCAACACGTGGATCACATGTCACAAGCTGCCTAGGTTCCTCCCACTTAACCGGAACTGTCTAAAGCAGAGCACAAAACAATTTACCAAACGAGCCAGCCCAGCCTCGGTACCGCTTACCAAGCTGAGTCCTCCATTTTTGCCCTCTTCCGTTCTCCCCTTTTGCTCGCTCGTCGATTCAGAATATCAGTACAACGTAAATAAGAAAGGAAAGGAGAGTAAAGGGTAAGATAACCTCCACTATGGACTAGCTATACCTGAAAATACAACCAAAAAAAAAAAAAAGAATAAAACCCAATGATCGTGACGACATAATCTCAGCTCGAAAGAGAATTGTAGTAACACGGGAACAAGAACAGACAACTGCCACCATCTCTTGTGCTAGGATAGAATAACCTCTACTTGCCTCACCATGCGACCAAAGCCCGAGTCTTGCGGGTGAAGCGTGCAAGTATAAAAGAACTGCCCCGTTAGCTCCCCCTTCCGACTCGTGTAAACCGTATGCCGCCCAAGCTATGCAATGAGACGTAACCAACTCGTGTGTTTATGATATAGTAGTAGTCCGTGAGAAAGCATCGAAGCCGCCCTTTGGAGTAATTTCTCCCCGTTGATTGGTTTACCGCACCTTGATACTTCACCATTGCCGGCCCGCGTTCTCGTTCCATCGGTAGTTTCGTGTTATCGCATGACGCTCGCAGAGTAGGTATCGACGGTACAAGGTACAAATGTGACAAGGACTGGCCAAGCTTGAAGCATAAACAAAATAAATAGATGCAAACTGTTAGACCGGTCACGCCGAGGCTCTCTGTGAAATTGAAAGACGAATTGCCTCCGCCTCATACGCGTATGCGAGTAGAAAAATTCGATGGCGGTGTGTAGTAATATAGTAATTGCCGCCCCTAATTAAAATGAATCGATATTCAAGAAGGACGCCAGCGTGCTCTAGACGGATAGCATCCGGCCTCTGTCGTCCGAGAAGGCTACTCTGTATTGAGTCTCGAGGCAGCCAGTCAACAATTCGCGTTGACTTAATGCCAAGACCCTCAGCTCTCAAGCCAAGGTGAACAACTAACCCATCGAGGGCTACGCCGCACGTATGCAGCGGTGTTCACAAAACATATACAGTTAATGAGTTGCCTTAAGTTGGGGCGCAGACATTAGATAGGACTCTTTAGTATGGCTCTTTAGTATGGCGAAGACAGCCGCCAACATAGCCAGTTGACAAGGCTATAAGTCCCCGTCGACTAGCGGCGGGCCTATTGTGTAGGGTGCCGAGGAAGAGTATCACCCTTCGTACCCGACCCCGGAAGAGATCCTGGCTCGTGAGGCATATAATTAGTGAAAGTAGGTTGGGGGAGTGAACGAATCATCCCGTCGTGTTGTGTATTATGGCCCCCTCTTGGTAGACCGTCGAATGATGCGCCCATATACTGCTGGCTTTGGGCCATTGGGACCCCTGTGTGGCCGACAAAAGGCTGATGAGCGTTGCCGGGCTGCTGTGGGAAGGTATAAGCCGATGGATTACTAGGTGCCGCGGAACCGGTTTGCCATTGTTGATACATGGTTGGGGTTGCCGGGCTCGCGTATTCCGATGGCGTTGTGAACATAGACGATCTTCTGCTTGAATCGTGCGGACTGGTGTACATATCATGGAGGCCTAGGTTTGTAGATGGATGGAGGGGAGCTTGACTGGGCATACTGGGCGCTTCCACAAAAGTCTGACGCTCGGTACCTATTTCAGTGCCCAAAACCGGCTGGGGGTATTGAGTACCGCGAACTGGCATCTCCCCTACGAATGCATCTCCAGATATTTGAGTCGTGGGGCTTTGCTCAGTGCTATGCGACTGAGTCATGAGCGTTTGTGGCATATTTGCTCTTTGCGGGGACGAGCTGGAGGAATTGGGAGCTGGATTGTGTTCGCCCTCATCTCTCCCAGGTGTTACATCCTCGGTGTCAGATACATACCCCTGACTAACACGGTCGTTGGGCATCACGTAGACGACGGTTGAACCATCTATAATCATGATTAGCACTGACTTACTATACAACAACCGACTTTGGACTACTTACCAATTTGGCCATCTTTATATCGTTCCTCGAGATGAGCAACCTTAAAGATTTCCTTCAAGTAAGGCTTCTTTTGCAGGTTGCTGGGGTTGTCCTTGTCGGTGAAGAATGACGACAGGGCTTCATTAGTAACCTCCTCTAGCTTACTCACATTGAGATAAAGCTTTTGGATGCTTGGGTGTTGAGTATGATTCGGCTCGACTATCATCCGAAGAATATGGTTGAGGAGGTGAACTCGTTCTAAGACTATTGGTCAGCATAAGTAATGTTTTTACCGGTTTGTAGCCGCCTTACCGCGTTTGTACAAATGGTCAGGCTCCTTGTGCCTAACCTTGTGTTCTCGAGTTGGCCCCCAAGGCTTTGGCCACCAATCGGGTGCTTTTTCATCTGCACCTGTATAAGGGTGTGTTGACTGCTTTTTGGGCTCAACCGCCTTCACCCAAGCTTTGGCAATTAATTTGCATGCGCTCTGCTGAATGGTCTTGAACCGCTCTTCATAAAATGTCCAAACGGCCTTGTCATCGCGGATGGTAAGGCCTCTTTTTGAGGGGCTTGATGATGCTGTAGGTTCGTCATCATAGTTCTCGGGCTCGCGCCGTATCATGCTTGCCCTTGGGCGTTTGCGAGCTTTGTAGTTTCCATCATCTTCGAAACTTGTTAAACTCATAGGCTGCCCATATCGACGCTCCTGTGCCCAACGCCTACCCGGGTCCATGGGGTACCGATTAATTTCTGTTTCGAAACCAAATTCTGGTTCGGTATATGCGGGGTTCGAAGCTGAACCGACAAGTCTTAGCTGAGCGCATTTGAAAGGTCTGATTGAAATTGGACTTACCGGACTGAACGCGTTGTAGTTCGCGACTGAGAGCGTCAACATCCAAAAACCTTGATATATTTATCCCCGGTATCGTGGGTGCTGTGAAGATATGGGGCTTTCCTTCTATGACGGGTATAACCACGTAGAATTCTGCTGAGATATTGCAGCACTCGCGTAAAGCTTTGTCGATAGCCTATACTATGCTCAATACTACATTTTCAAGAGAATGGAACTATCTCACTCACCATAGGAGGTCGCCGTATGTCTTGCGAGTCTGCGAAACGGCCCTCGTCGGGGACTGGTTCCATGGGAAATCTATCCTGATGGGGCCAATAGGCTGTTCGAGACGGGAAGTGCTCCCTCGGTTGGTTGGCGTCTTGCACCATGGTTGAAAGGGGGTAAGAAGTAGACGAGATTCGAATTTAGCTATTCACGGTAGGGATTATATTTCACGAGCTCGGTTTCACCAGCGGGTGCTGCCAACTTTGCAGAGCCTCCACTCCTGACAACGTCAGTTTATCACATGCAATGCTCGTCTCTAAGGTCCGGTCAGATCCTTTTCGACAACGTCGCCGATTCCCGACTTAGATGCGGTGTCGAAGTATGTCTCACAAATGGGAGCGGTAAGACGAGACTGGACTTGATAACGATGATGAAAAATGAAGACACCGGTTGAGTGCAGTCGATGGAGGATTGTCCGTCAGAGCTAGTATATGTTGTGACAAGGCAAGAAGAGATGGAGCGCGTGCTTGATATATGTGCGAGGGTGTAGTTAAACAAGAAGTTGTGACAAGATAAGAGTGTAGTACATTCGTATTGGCAGACTCAAACGGGCTTAAGAAGAGTTGGAGTAAACTGTCGATATAGAGAAGCTGGCCAGAAAGCCCAAAGCGCACGTCGAGGGCTGAGTCTCAGACGGGATAGCCTTTCTTTGTTTTAGAAACGGCAGCGGGAGCTTGCTTCCTAAGGAGGTTGGCAGGTCGGGGCGGACGGGATATCAAATAAATGTGCTATTAGACTTAGATGCAGAAACCTGGTGGGCGGCAGCGAACTAGGCCGAGCTGAGCATGGGTCAAGTGGCCAACAACAAAGAAAGGGCAATGCCGTAGCGTCAGAACTGAACAGCCTTGCGTATTCAGTTTAATGAGCTGAGCAGGCCCGTCCTAGATTCAAACGGGATCGTCAACTAGTCGCAAAGGTTACGCTTAAAGGACGGTGGATGTCCTCTTTCACTTTTACAAAGTTGTGAGACATCGAGTAGTGAGAGGCCACTTCACTTGCTCGTAAGTATGCTTCGTCTTGGCTTCCGAAGCTGTCTCAGAATCCACGAGAGGTCGTCGTGAGGGTGTAAAAGTCAGCTTAATATAAGAAAGAATTAGTATTCGCAGCTGGATATCATCTTCATCCATTTCTTTTCGAGCCGCAAAGCTGGGACGCACTGTGAAGACAATCGTATTAAATAGGTAGGCATTTACCAACCAATTTAGAGGGAGCCCATTGAACGAACGCTATGGATCTAGGTGAAAAGCGGCTAACTAGCTGAAGCTGGACGTCAGGTCACCACGAGTGCCGGCAGTCTAATGCGAGGGATAAGTGATGCGGCGGAGTTCAAAGGCTCGTAAAACCATGTGGTTCCCACACAGCTCATGCGGCAAGCGGCAGTGGTCCTCGGAGGGGGAGATAAGCAAAAGAAAAAAAAAAGAAAAAAAAAAAGAGCTGGCTCTCAAACGATTGCGATGGGGGGATCTATAGACTGGATGCTCGCGCAGAAAACAGATTGCGGCGGCGGGTTTCTTCTGCTATATGTTGAACTGATCAGGTCCCTTCTCGTTAATAGACCATGGCGAAATTGGAGAAAAAGAAAAGAGATCTAGACGACGGCGAGAGGCGAGGCCAGTGGAGAAAATAACTGCATGTAGTAGTCGTAGTCCCGTAGAGCGAAAGGAAAAATAAAAATAAAATAAAATAAAAAAATAGACCAAACACAAAGATGGCAAGGATCACGAAGCAGAATTCACGAACCCCCTGCCCCTCGTTTCTACGATAAGCTCGGGTGTTAAGACATGAGCAAGGACTAAATTCTTCCCTTGGTTTGCGGGTGTGTACGAAAGGGTACAGATGTGCGTATGCAAGCGGGGAGAAGAAGGTATGGGTATGGATATGGGTATGGATATGGGTATGGATATGGGCTTGCGGGCTTGCGGGCTTGTGAGGTAGGTAGATTACCTTAGGTAGTAATGAGGCCGTGTGGGTTTTTCTTGCGAGGGGTCCTGCTGTCAGGGGGACGGACAGGCAAGGAAAGCTCTTTGAGCAAGCTATGATATCCCCAAGGGCCCGAATGTGTTTAGAGCAGGGGGCTTTAACGGATTATGGATGGCGGCATTATTGAGGCCTTGTACAGTACAATACATGGATTGACGTGCCCAACCAATACGATGCTCTCCTGGTAGCAGTGGGGGAAGAACATACAGAATAGACAGGCGACAGGGCTAGATGGGCGTTGCCTTTTGCCTTTTGCCTTCGCAATTGTTAGCAGGTACATACGATACCAGGGCCATAGGTAATGGATGTTTATGTACGTTGACGTTTGTATACGGGAGATTGCCGAAAGAATCGGGACTTAAGATTAGGTATAGTTATTTTTGCAATGTACATAAGCGCGCACGTTTTTTCGAGAGATATACATAGTATCTACATCGTATCTACCTGACCTACATACCTTTGTCGAATTCAGCAGAAACAACTTCAAACGGGGAAACGGCTTGAGCACTCCTTAATAAGCACCTCTTTATCTACCTAACCAACGTGTTCATTAACTGCCGTTAGTTACCTTGTAAGTTGGGCGTTCTTCCATCTTTCGGCAAGCGTCTAGACACATACGGAACATGTTCCGGATAGCATAGCGAAAGAAGAAGATGCCAATGTAGAAAAACCCCAAGTAGTTCAAGCAAGAAGACGAAACTGGAGAAAGAGAAGCATGTGGAGAAGTAGAGACCAGAGAATGATCACGGTCTGATGACTCTGCATAACGTGTGGGAGTAACCCCTGTGAAGTGACAAGGGGTAATGGAATAGAATTGGATGCTCTTAGCTTATTAGCGGGAGGAGTGGATTTAAGTGGCTCTGTAAAGTGGACTTACAAGACTTGGGAATGGTTCCGGGGCGGTGCGTAGTGGAGCTTTATGGGGCGACCCGAATAGCCCGGCGGCGGGAGGGATTTGCTAGGGGAGAGCCTCCCGAGCCCTGGGTATGAGGGTATCAGGGTATTTGATTTACGCGTCATTTAAAGAAACTAAACTATGTCAAAAAAGACGATCTGAATCTGTTGGTAACTGAATTTTGACTTTAGTATGTGCATCTGAAGACTTTCTAATTAAAGATACGAAGTTGAGATTAAGTAACTGATTAAATAACAAAATGTCAAGACTTACGGTAAATACTTTACAAAATAAGAAGCTCTAGTTACCAATATCTGAACAAAGAAATACTTTTTAAGAACTATCCCAATACCAAGTTAAACTAGCCCAGGAGTAACAACTACAATACCTACACGCGCTATTCATGTCCGAGTTGGCCTAGTTGGTGTTACTTTGGCGCTTCGAATGGCGTGCTATAAAAGGAATATTATAGAACAAGCAAGTCCAGCTCGACAAGTATATAGCAAGAAGAAACCGAAACTCTTTGAAAGCATTATAGCAAACACATTATAAGGGAAATAAACTCTAATTAGTTACCTAGTCTACGTAAGTTTGGTAGAAGTATTCTAACGTTACAAATATCATGACAGACGTGTTGACGATATCTTTCCTTTCTTCAGCAAAATTGCAGGACCGGCGTCTTAATCAAACTACCTATTGAGATAGTTATAAATATTTCAGATCTATTGATTGACTTAACCTCCCCCACGTTGTGTCACCCCTTGTCGTGGCCCCAAGATCTAAACTCCAACGTAGATCAACCCAAACCCAACGGATGGGTTGCTTAATTACCGTTCGTCTTTTTGCTTCGTCAGCAAGCGACAATGATAGTCAATCGCCGGGCACCAATCGTGTTGGAGCGCCCAACTAACATGGCCTTGCTAGACTGCCAGGGCGCAATGCCCTCCTTGACCAATACTACTTACTCAAACAAGATGGGTACGGTATCGAACAGTACATGATAGGAAAATGCAAACGCTCTGTCGCTCCGTCTCTTGGTTTGGTATCAGGTAGAGATGTGAAAAAGAGGCCCAAACACGCGTCACCTGCCCATCATCAGCATCATGGGGACGCCATCAGCCATCGCAGTTCGTCGCTAGTTCTAATTTATGCTTGTGTTTCTCTCCGCATCAGCACAGGCTTCTCGAATCTGCGGGCGACCACTGATGCATCCGGGTAAATGAGGCGTGCTATGTTCTCACTCGTCACTTTCGATATGTGGGGGTTTTCGGAAAACTTGAAGATCTGGATCTATTAGTTAACCTGAATGGTACATATATGTATAATGATCGGGCTCTGATTAGTACTTCCATCTGTAGGTTCGCGTAAAGCTGAGGAGGTTACAAGGATCACCCCGAGAAGGCTGGCATGCTAGTTTATAATACATCTTATTGATGAATGGAACTTTCATCCTAGTCGAGCCTCCTAGGTTGTCTTTTCAATATCTCTGAAGGCAAACCTACAAGCCACAAAGTATCAACTACCTTACCTATGTAGAGCAAGGATGATGTATTCTGGGGTTGAATGTTTATGCATAGCTGAGATGTGCTACACGTATTTAATAGGGTCGTATTGTGACCGTGAAGGTGCTCCTCTGCATAGTATTAGATACATGTCTATATTCGAATGCGCCGTCACGCCGCAGAGAAGGTTCAGAGTGGGAATATCAGGTGCTGGTGTGAAGATGCGAGTACGTGCGTCTCCCCTGACCGTCGTCAGCGTGATGAGTGTTTCGATACCAGCATCTAGAGATACCAGCAAATAAAAGGCAGATGAACGATCAACCCTATTACATACGCCGCCACCCAATACTAACCAACACTGCTTTTCCTCCGGTAACAACCATGCTGTTATTATATTGCTTTTCTACGGATTAGTGATATACCTACTACATACTGTGCGTATGGCCCTTGCCGCCCCGGCATAAGTCCCACCGCACGTTACCCAATAACACGATCTCCAATCGAAGCTGAGGACGTATAAGTGGTACAGAATGACTCGCAACGCCTGACACATAATTCGAAGATTAACAGACCCGATAACTCTTAACCATTCCTCTGCCTTCCTCGCTTAGAGCACCGATTTCATCTACACGTGCTTCGGGCCGACAGCCGCAAGCTTTTCACTCGGAACTGGTGGATTTTTGGGTGAGCCGGCGGGAACAACTTGTTGGAAGACCTACCAAGGAGG